GAGAGAGAGAGAGAGAGAGAGAGAGAGAGAGAGAGAGAGAGAGAGAGAGAAATATGATCCCGACAAATTATGCGTATCTATATTCAAACACGCGAGAATATTAATCAAAATCTTGTTGAACTGTGTTCTATCGCGATAAATCGGATAATTAATTCGTAACTGTTTCCCCGCAGTTGGACCTGTCGTCAAAGCACCTAATCAGCTTCTGGGCGCACCTTTGGGCACGAACGTCCAATTGGAGTGCAACGTCGAGGCATTCCCGAATACAATTAATTATTGGGTAAAGAACCGCCAGGACACGGAGGACGAGATACTGATCGAGGGGTGAGGATTACGAGTTTCTCTTAATTTCCATACAGTAACTGCCCATCAACTTCGATCGCGAGATTTATCACTGTTTGTATCCTCCTTCTCGCAGACACAAGTACAGCGTACGAGAAGAACGATTCGGATATACAGTTTCGATGTCACTGTTAATCAAAGACTTCACCGAGCTGGATGTGGGCAGCTACAGATGCGTCTCGAGGAACAGTCTTGGCAAGGCCGATGGTACTTTAAGACTGTACGGTAAGTTCACTTTCGCCCATAAAATTCCACCGAAACGATTACTGTCCCCGTAGTGAAGTAGTAAACCGGTTTAGGTAATGGAAGAAAATATTCTTTCTAGTTCGCTTAATTATCGTGGCACTTGCACCTGTTTGAATGATCACATTATGTACAAATTGTTTATCTTCCTTTTTTCATTAACGCTGAATCTAGTTATATTGTCTAGTGATATAACAGAAAGGACATTGAGACTACCTTTTATTAGTTGAAGTGATAGAAGAAAATATTCTTTTTAGTACATTGTCGCTGTCGTGTTACTTGCACCTGATTCACATTATCTACAAATTGTTTATCGTTCTTTTCTCGTTAATGCAAGATTTCGTTCTATCGTCAAGTAATTCAATACGATGGACAGTAAGACTAGTTTCTATAAATTATATAATTAACGAAAGCAATATTCTTTTAATTGACCTACCATCAAGGTGAATTAGGATATCTAGGTTTCTTCGCACAAAATTTACTATGTTCAGATAAAACAATTTGAAAAGTAGTCTGAATATAAAATTTATGATATCAAGATAAGAATATCGTGTAAAAGTTAATTTTCTGGTGCATAGATAAAATATTTTATCATAGGCCAAATAAGGCTTACCATCGTTTTTTATTGGATAGTCAGACATTTTACCGTCGAATAATTGAAAGCACTTGACATTTTCGTTTATCAGTATACAAAATTTGGCTCGCGTGCATATTGTACACTGGTTGTGTCATATAATCCATTTTAGTCGCGTTAGATTAATTTGCGGTCTCAAGTGCGGTTTCAAGACTATAATTCACCATTTTAATCCAGCCCATGGTACTCGTAGTGCCACTAAAATTACAAATGCGTTCCATTCAGTTTTGCTTGAATCATAGAATTGTAACTGTTATTATTGTAAATTGTACGTATCTGATACTGAATAATGAGAATTCTGCAGTAGTTACTAGATATAGCAAATGTTTCTACGAAATAGCTTCAAGGTATATAAAAAGTAGAGAAATGGTACGAAAAGTAGTAAAATAATGCTAGAAATCAAACAAACATAGAATATAGGTACATACCTAGTTTCGAAGATTATGTAGATATTAAGTTTTATTACGTATAGATAAAACTGAATTTCACATACAAGTAAATGGGGCTCTTTAACGATCAGTATAACACAGTATGTAGACCACACAATACAGGTGAATTTATTTGGAAACAATAAAAAAAATTCATATGAATAAGTTTGTGTTATGTGTAATAGTAGTTTATTGTTCATGCGTCTGTTTGCGGTACTTCTGATACATAAAACCGATTTACTGGTAAGTCGTTACTGATTTTCAAGTTGTACCAAGCACGGTGTCATTTTTCAAATTAGCCAAGTCAAATGAGTATGTTCCATTTGCGAACACTTTGTGGATTCTTTCTCTACAAAATGGTCGTTCTAACTTTATTTAAGGTAAGGCGAGAAATAGTGTTATTTATAAAATTTTCTAATATAAACTAATGTGACATTATTTATAGAAATCAATTTATTAAAAACATCGAATAAATACGGGAAAATTGATGACCTTAGTTGATGCGATTAATTAGTACTTAAAACCTTAAATAAAAAAAAGCCCAAGATTTCTTAAAATATAAAATTATGTAACTTCAAAATAACACAAACTTTTATTAGTACCTTCGTATGAACTTATTTTATTATAAATAACAAATTTGCCCCTGAGAAGTCGGTCTTATAAGTTTCTATCCTTGTCTAGAGAATGCATATGCGGGAAGTGCACCCAAACCAGTATAGTATTACAAAAAGATATACATTTTTCAGAAAAATTACTCCTTTTCACTCGAAATAATGAACAATGGAAAAATCGTATTTCGTGTAAGTTATGAGCGACCATTCTCTTTTATTTTCAGAAATTAAAATGGGCTTCGACAGGTCATCGCGTGGAAAAGATCATGTGTCTATTATCGGTGGTAAGTCGAGGGAAGAGCTTTCTACTCTTAATAGAACCATTAAGTCTTTGCACTCGAGAGGCGACTCTCAATTGCTGTAGGTACCTATAATTTAATACGACAACTCGAGTAGCAAGTGAAAAATAACTGTATATAGGGTATTAACAAAAATTTGAGACACTTTCACAGGGTCGATACTACATGCCAGACTACGACGAAAATCAAAAATGACAAAATTGTGTTCAAGCATAGGTTACCAACGTGAGCGCTGCCGCGAGCCGGTTGACGCTCAGGAGATCTGGAGAGGGGGGCGTTCTAGTTGTTTTATTTTCTTTATAATTTTTCAATATAATTTTTTAAGATTCACAGATTACACGCGCAAGTACACCTGGAAATTTTAATAATAGGGATAGTTTGCCGAAAGGGGGCGCTGAATAAGAATTTCGAAAAGGCGGTGAACCAAAGAAAGTTGGGAAACAATACATTACAAGCTTCGTTTGAGAGTTATTAATTATTGCAAATATGAGTAAAATAGGCGAAACATACGTTTAACACGAAGGGTTATGTTACTCGAATAGCTGATACCACAAACGAGGAAAATATATAATTTTTTTAAGATTCAAGCAAATCCATAATAGGATGTATATACCATGCAGCTGAAGTGGTAATATCGCACACCTTCAAGAAAAGTGTCACAAGTAGAAGAAGTGTAACTCTTCAGGAGATCAAAAAGAAACTGATTCATTCACGTAGCACTTCATATATTAAACAAAGTGAAACTAGCACCATGTCGCTTGGAATATTGGACTTCAACTTGTGACATTTTTCTGGATGGTGGAACTACGTATTGGAAAATAATTTATGCGATAAAATAAAAGTTAACAATTTTTTACTTGTGACACTTTTCTCGCGGGGGCACGATATACGAGGCCTCGCGGTATTGCAGGTCCATCGATTCGTATTAGATGTTCCAGAATGTTTCAGAAAGAATTATTGCAGTACCACAAAGCGTCGTATGTCATCACTTCGGCTACGACGTAAGCGGGTTTTTCTAGATAGTTACGAGACTGGTAGTTACCGACCGAGCAGGTGGAACAGCTGACGGGTGCGCCTTCCGAGTAAAATGATCCATCGCGTCAAACATATTTCACGCGAATATTCAACAATTAATAACTCTGAAACGGAGCCTCGAACGCAATTTCATCATTCTTAATTTTCATCTTATTTTGACATGTAGAATCCACTCTGTGAAAATGTCCGACATTTCTGTTAACCCCTTGCCTTATAACATCTAGTCAATCAGGCACGTGATGATGCTTTCCAACTGGATTCAATGAACATGTATATCATTCGTTTCCTTTGAATCGACATGAGATACTGTTGCGCTGGTATTAACATTTAAGATTTCGAGTAAATGTTACACTTGCCGTAAGAGTAGAATTCCGTTTGTATCTGAGAAATTGTTATCGATAAAGTAATTATTGAGACTGTAATTGTCAAAAAAAATCGTAAAGCAAGGGATTAACACGCTGTATAACAATTACTATAGTTACATGTTTGCGCTATAGTAGATGCATAAGTCTATGCTGTTGGTGATTCTGGTAATGATACATTGCTTTCGTAAACCACGTAATACCGTGTTATTTTACGATTCGTCTTCTTATTCCTTTACGTGCTTATTTTGAAAAGTTTTGTCGAGTTTGTAATTTTCTATTAGAAAAATGTCCCGAGTTTGCTAATTGTCCATATAGCTAAAACAGCTACGAGTGCAAAGGGTTAAAATCGATAAATGCATAGTACAAGATAGATTTGCCGCTAGCAAGTGACCACGGAACCATTAAATGAAATCTCTCATTCAGGTTTAGCCGAAGCTGCGCAAAGCTCGGGCGCTAGCAGAGGGTTCTTGGGCTGTAGCAACAAATTATCGCATTTCCTGTCAATGTTTCTCTTCATACCGTTATTCATCTGGCCACGGTGAAGAAGGCATACGCTGCTGGCCCCTGCTAAGCCGAGTGCCGGATAACTTTGTGCCAAAGGACAAGACAAAAAATCAAGAATGCTTGTGTATGCGTATGCATGTATGTGTGTGTATGTTGGGTCAGATGATATCCAAAGTGTACGAAATTATAAAAAAAAAGAGAATGTGTGCAAGAAAGGATGAAGCGTTCTATCCGATAGAAAGAACACGCCGTGCGTTGAATGTTCGTATGAATGAACAAAGAAAAAAATGCAGCGAACTGACGAACAAAAAAAAACAGAGCAGAAATAAATAAACCGGAGGCTCGCGTTCTCTACATCTTCCTATTTCCCTTTGCTATTCCCGAGTGTCAAAAAAAAAACATTTTTAGAACAATGAATGATGTCAATGTATGCGTCCATTCGGATTCGCGAATCCGTCTCGTTGGAATATCGATGTCGGGTCGTGTTTAAAAAGACGTGCGCCGCATGACGAAACGACAAGACTCGGAAGCGTGCAAGCAGCTTGGCCCTTCCTAATGATGCTTAACAAGTCGTCAATAATATTCATAAGTTAAACGATCATTTTGTCATTGGTATCTGCATTACGGACGTTAGACGTCAAGGAATTCGATGTTTCGAAATAAAAATATGAGATCAAACGTTGTACACTACCGGCTGCTACTGATTTCTACGTACCTCTACTTCTCTACTCCTTCGTCTTGTACTACATATAAAAGCCGTTCGCGGGCCACGATGGCTGACTCTACTTTTTGAATTTTTTTAAATTTTAGTTGCAAAGCATTTCATTGGCTTAATCGTTTAGATTTGAAATAAACTTCCTTGAGAATCTTTTGTGGAGTTAATTACTTTTGAAAATGAACGACACAAAAATGATCGAAATTTAACCCCTTAAGCAGATAGGGAGGATTTATCCTTGTTGGCTTATACTTTTGTATACAACTTAACGTCCCAAAAATGGCCGTCATTTCAATTCGTTTTAGTAATATTATAAGAAAAAGAAACACTCTTTTTGTTTTTACTTAAGTTCGAAAAATTGGAATTTCATGTTCAAATTTATAGTCACACACTTAGTTATACACTTCACAGCGCGATAATTCTTTCCCCGTTTAAGGGGTTAACCCTTATCCCTCGCAACTGTGGCGGTACTGAAAACTGTTCTGACGACAGCACCTGGGTTCATTCGGACCCATGACAATTTCAATTCCATAAACATTTCAAGCTATTCGTGTCAATAGAATAATTTTTAATATTAAACGAGATTATGTGCTAACCATACACTATGGCTTGGTTCAAATAAACCTACAGAGACACAGTAAGGGAGTGTAGAACATACTTTAGAAATGACAGTTAAGAGTTAAAATTTTTATATACCCCCTATTTATGTATTCTTATTATCTCTGCTGTTATGATCCTATTGTGATACATTTTTCTTAATTTTGAAATAGAATTCACAGTTCAGTACGGACTTTCGTCAAATAAATCTGACAAATTTCCGTGAACAAATTTGTCAATTACTCTTTGTATCCATCAGATCATCATTCTGCAAAGGTTATTATTTTCCACCGTAAAAACTCATTGATATAGATCGAAAAAAACGTAGCATTTTAGAAGAAATGATTTTCATTCAATCAAAATATGCACCATCAACATTAAGAATAATTTGCTCTCAACGAGATATTAATTGATATGTTCCATTTTCTTGAATAATGATATTTGTGTTTTTGTTTTCATTGATGCTTACTAATTAGGGAATGTTCTATTTTTTAGAAACCACTTCGGATGTTATAACAGACAGTTATCTAAACCAGAAAACTATTCTTTCATGGCACCTATCAAGTAAAATCAGAGGAAAATTTCCATTATTTTATGATTATTTAAATTTTGTATCACTTTAGACAGTTTACAAGGACAGAAGAGACATTTCTTTACAACTCATATTTTATGTTGCTACACTTTGTACATGTTTTGTATAATAAATACTCATAGGGACGGAAGTAATTAAAACATAAACTAAAGAGGTCTTCCTATGTTAGAGCGTTGGATGAAATCAAATTTTTTAAACTGTATTAAAGAATTTGAATGATAGAGAGCACGAACAAAGAAAGTATTATAAAAACTAAAGAGGAAAAAATAAATTAAGAAAAAGAATAACCAAATGTTCGTTTAAGTTTCTAGATTTCTTCTAGTTTAGTAATATGTTCATTTTAAATATATAAAAGAGTGAAGTCTGTAAATGTAATCATTTTCTTGGAGAGTTGAACAAAACAGGGTAATTGGACAGAACAGGGTAATCAATGCTATTGGTTTTACAGGTGCTCCTGTCTCCAGGCGGTACAAATCTTTTGTATTTGACGTCCAAACATATTGTAAATAATTAAAAATAGCACATTGTATATGGTGGACTCGCTGATAACGATTTTGTGTAAAACAGTGTATTCAGATTTTCTACAACCAAGTTTTTGTGACTTTTTGAAGATTTGTACTGAGTTTTAAACAGACAACAAAGGAACGGTGAGTAGTTCATTTCAATTAGTTTTTCTTTGTCGTTTCAGACATATATTTACGTTATCCATAACCTACTTAGTTAAGAAAGGCCATGTGTTTTACTGCCGAAGTGCACAGTCGGACAAAACAGAGTACTACCCGTTTTATGCAACCATTTTCATTTTAATTCATATAACACATTTTATTTAAATTATTTAAAGTACACTTGAATATTATATTAATTTCTCTAAATGTCAGGTTCCATAAACAATTTTGTAATATCTATGTCTAAACCAAAATATCTTCGAACGACCGCACGACAGTCATGGGAGTAAGAGCACATGAAAAACACTTTTAAAGCAGGGGTGTCCAACAGGCGGTCCGCGGGCTACCCTGTCCCCCTCCCCTATCAGCTTACACACTTCTACCGTAGGGGAATGTTCCCTCTCCATATTCACCGTGCTTCTGCCTTGAAATCGCTGCGCATGACGTCTAAACAAGGAGCAGTTGGTGCGCACGCTCCCAGTCAGAGCATGCGCGCGTACTTTCTTGCTCCTCCCAAAGTAGTGAGAGGACGGTCTGTCGGATGGTAAAGACCATTTCGTTCTTACCAACAACATGTTGGCCAGGCCTGCTTTACATGAAGTTACGGCTGGTCGCGTCGATTATAGCAAACCAAACAAAAATTGTGAGACTTACAATGTGAAGGAGTGACACATTCTGCGATACCTACTATAAATTTACACGGCAACTGCTTTCAGGAAAAATAAAGTTAGAGGTTGTTGATGGTGCAAATACTTAAAAGCCGACGTACATGGATGTGACATGTGCCCCTTTTTCACTGAACCCCTCAATTTACCGAAGAATAGTTGGCGCGGAATATTAGTACTTGTTAACAATTTTTATCTTAAAAAATTGCTCCCAATTTGTTCCCTCGGAATCTAAAATTGCTCTCATCTCAACTATTATATTTCATGAGATATTCGCAAATGAAAAAGCAAAAATTTGTTGTCTGGAAAATAAATACAGTAGACATTCGTTTTCCGCATTAGTCGGGGCTGTAGCGGGCCAGAATTCCAAGAATTGTGCAGGAAGTAAACTCCAGTTACCCGAGCGATTTCCCCACCACTCGACCGTTCAGTCCTGCAACGCAGCTACATCTAGGGTGGGCTGGATATGCGCACTTTACGGTTACATTAATTATCTCCGCTATTTTTAGAGATATCAGAAAAGTTTATTCACAGATGTTGTTCAGTATGAAGAGGGCTATTACTTAGCAGTAACGAGTTTTTCGTAGGTGGAGTATTTTCGAATGCTTGATCTTTGGATATTAAAAAATTATTATGGAATAAAATACTTTTATTACATAAATGAATTCTTCCAAACATTCTGCGTAATAAAGTATTAAGGTATTATGTGAAAAAGGTAATAATTCGTGACATATTTTACATAAAAAATTTGAAATATGTCACGAATTGTTATGTAACTCCTACTCATCCTACAATAAAGTTATTATTGCTATGTTATGGTCCCTCTGATAGCATTTAAATACTGTACTTTCTGATCGCTTGATGTGAAATGAAATTGCCAGCAATATTCCTACAGTTGTCCGCGAAATTGTTGTTCAAACAAAACATTCAAATATGTCGTTGAATTCGCCTTCAAATGCTTAATAAGACGACAGTAAACAAAATATGTAGTTCCATTGTAAAAAAGTTACAATAGTAGAAAAATTCAAATATTCTATTAAGTTTACTTCATGAAATCCAACAGTTTTCATATGAAACATTTCTTCGCATTTTCAACGGTTACAGAAATAATAGCGTGTATATGGTTAAACCGGATATTCTGTACATTGTTAGATTCCGATGTTTAATATTTAAAAATAATAATTTTTATTCTACTAAACTTTTGAACACGAAATCTTACAAGTTTTCTAAAGTATTTAGGCTATAGTTTCTAAAAACTGTTAGGTTGTAGTGATTCTTCTATATGTCTCACTCAGGATCTTAGACAATAATCAACCTTGTTAATTCTTAACGCGCCCTTAAGTAGTATTCGGAGATCTGATTTAAGAGGTAGTGGGAGTGAGGAAAGGTCCAATAGGAAGTCTTGGATGTTACTAGGTGTTGATGAGTAAGAGGCTAAAGGGTATGATTTTGGGATTGGTGAATAAGAGGTTCAGGCGTGACTCAGGGTTGCTTCAAGGGTCGTATGCGTAATTATGTACTGAAGATAGGAAGAAATTTGGGGTTGCTTATCTTAAATTAAGCGGTAAATATAAAAATATGCTCTAGCTTAGAGCGGTATCCAACAACATATTATTTTACCATTTTTTCAGTTTCTATGGTTAAACACCTTAAAGATATTTAATATTCTTATTCTTCACTTTAACTATGTTATACCTTATACTTGTTGCGTAATCTTTATAGGTTTAGCTGCTTACATAAGTATTTATATTAATTATGAATGAAGAATAATACGAAATGTAGTTGATTATAACTGAAAGTATCTAATAACATTGCAACACTTCATTAAAATAGTATTACACACTGTATACACTGCGGTTTCCGTGATGAGATATGCGAGTTAAACGTGACACCGTATGTGTTCCGGCCTGGGCGTGCTGAGCGACAGAGTAGGGTACGCGCGCGTGTGTGAAAAATGCTACTGTATACTGTAATGCTGAATGTCTACTGTAGTAAATGGTCTTTTTACAA